TCTTGCTTCTGGTGAAAAATATACTCATCTCTCTTGAATAAAAATCAAAATATTTCCGATTGAAGAAGGTGGTGGTCGCCTGGTCCCAGAGATAAAATTAGCGAGAAAATGGCCACCAAATTTGGGGGAACTTCCCAAGCCTGAGGGTCCTTAGAAACTGCAAATTTACATTTTCTTTGGGAAGTTTTAGGCGGCAAAAGTGACGAACTTTCACAAATATAATATGTATAGATAGAGATAATCTTTATGTTTATTTGTAGCCACGTTAAGCAAGTGCAATTATATTTCCCACAATCGGTGAATAGGTGCGGTATTGTGTATGCTGTTATATCATATAACTAAACAACAACAGCAACAAAAAAGAAAACTTAAAAAAAAAAGAAAAAAAACTGAACGAAGTGCCCACTCCGAGCTCAACGCTTGTTTCTCTATACTCTACGAAGACCTATAGGCGTTGCGAGGGACGTGCAGCATGACAGAGCTGTTTCTAACACTCCCAAAGATGGCGGCGCCAAAAGATGAGTGGGTTCGCGCGGCCCTCGCCTCTTTACATGGGTGACGTCACAGCTGAAATCTCTATCTCTATAACCTCTTCGGTGCAATACACAAATCCATGCCAGATTAAAATCAAAACCATCTCTATTCTAACGACTAGATGTCATATAAACGCAGTTTCTTAATCTTTCCACCTTTGAATCGCACGTTTTTTGCTTGCCATGTAATTAGTGTGGCTAGAAATAGAAGAAAAAATCCAGACTTTTTCGAATCCTCACTCTTGTACATTTTTTTCATGTAAAACGTTTGAGTGGGACCACTAGACTAATCATTTGAACTTTGTTGATCTAAATCAGTAGAGTATGAAAAAAATTATTACACTCATTATGGTGGTAGATCATGATTTATCCTACTTATGAGATTATCAATAGTAATCACTCGTTCAAACTCGTGATTACGATTTGGCATATTCACACATATTATGATTTTCCACCATGACTGAGGTAAGAAATTCTTTTTGTCTTACAAGTGAAATTGCCAAGTTGTAATCACGAATTTCAAAGACGGATTACAACTGGCAATCTCACAGGTACGTAGAATAAATCATGATCTACCACCACAACGAATGTTATAAAAATATTTATGTCATACTAAAGAAAAAGATCTGTGCTCTGGTTTTGTTTGCTCATTCTTTCCTATCAAACGTCAACCTTCCTTATCTCTCCTCCTTTCTTTGTGTTTGTAACACCTTTATCTTCGGCACTTACATGACCAAGTTGTGTCAGATTTATCGTATGCGAAAACTGTCCGCTTTATCGAACTGTGTAGTCTGTTTGCACGTTTCATGCCAAGAGTGAGGATTCGAAAAAGTCTAGATTTTTGTCTTCTGTTTTTAGCTACACTAATTACATGGCAAGCAAAAAAAGTGCGATTCAAAAATGGAAAGATTAAGAAACAGTGTTTATATGACATAATATAGTAGTTGGAATAGATATGATTTTGATTTTAAACTTCATAACCAAAAGCTAGGAGTCTTTTGCTGGCATGGATTTGTGCATTGCACCAAAGAGGTCACATGGTTGGGGAGGAAAGAAAGTGGAGAAGAAAGCAGATGACAGAACATGTCTAGAGAACAGGAAAGGTGATGAAAGGAGAAATTTTTAGAGAAGAAGATTTTTCCGTCATCGTCAAGTTTCGAACCCAGAACCCTTTGAATGAGAGGCAAACACCATACCGTTAGACCACGGGAGACCCCGTTTGTGTGGGCGAAAATCTGTCGTTTAAAAAGCCAGTCTTTTGTCCAAATAAGCCCCTTTTTCTTTATTTTCCTAAGCAGCAGCACATAGAGTGCAAGCAAACCGTTGTCGTCGCAAAGGGTCATGGTGGCTTAATCACGAGGAATCTCCACGATTGAAAGAGAACTGGGCAACAGACGGGAAACGTGCAAACAGACTATACAGTTTGATAAAACGGGCAGTTTTCGCATAGATAAATCTTACACAATTTATCGTTGCGTGTACCCGGGGTTTAAGAACTGTTTTTAAAAGTCTCAACACCAATATCTTGCGCAACACTGGCAGCTATATTGAAATCGCCGTTCACTAATGACGTCAGCTAAAATTTGGACAAAAATGACCCCCCCCCTCCTTGTCATCTTCTGTCATCTGTACCAGCCCCCTCCACCCCCCCCCTCCCCCAGTCCCCCCTCCCTAGTTGACGTCAACCAAAAGGTACATGTACATTTAGATAGCACCTGTGAAGGATACAAGGTTGACCTTTATTTTAAATGAATAAACAAAAACGAGATCTATTGTTTGTTAAAGAATACAACAAAGAAATACATGAACTATCAAACTATTTATTAACGGCTTTAACCAATCAAAATAATTTAAAGCCTACTCCTATCGATTTTGGACCACCAATGTATCTCTAACGCGTGCAACTTGCACAGGGGACCTCCGAGACTTTTTGCCCCTTTCTGAGTAGGCTAGGTGTAGACCTTACCTACCAAAAGATCAAGGGTGTGGTTGAAAGACAGCAGTAAAAAGAAGCCAAGGAGTAGCAGTAGAAAGGCAGCAGAAAGAATCAGGAGCCCAGAGGAGGGGCAAAGGAGGTGAGGGGATGGGGGCAGAAAGTGGAGACGAAAGCAGATGACAGAACATTGTAAGACAGCAAGAAAGGAGGTGACAGGAGAAAATATTAAAGAAGAAAATTTTCCGTCATTATCCAGATTCGAACCCGGGACCTTTGAATGAGAGGCGCACACTTAACCTCTAGGCCACGAGAGCCCCCAATTTAACTGTTAATTTTAGGCCAGGAAAATGTGGTCTAAAATATTCTTTCTTTCCTTTCTCCCCCCCCCCCCCAACCTTTTAGAGCATCATGGATGACGTAAACTTTGTAAGGACCCCCCCCCCCAATGTCACCGTTTGTCAACCTTTCACTGAACCCCCCCCCCCCCCCCCCTTTCCCTTCCCCTCTCTGAGCTGAGCTGACGTCATTGGTGAACGGTCCCAGATGCCTACCAAAATCCCACAATTTTGAAAACCAAAAGACATAACTTAAAAATAATAATCAAGTAGGTAGGCAGAGTTATAGGTACTTGGCAAGTTAGTATGAATATGCCCTCAATATTCTGAAAATTTCAAGGGCTTTCAATGTAAGGTGTCACTTTTTGTTCAAATTTTGACAGTAAAATCAATTTCGAAAGCTCATTTTTCAAATATTAAATATATTTTCTAAAAACTAACTAAATAAATAGCCAGGTACCTGTAATTATATTATCTTCATATACGTGTGAATTTTCAATGCAGTATCTTGACTAGTAGCTGAGACTTTAGGTCTCTAGTGACGAATCGTCTCTATAAAAGTTTTGAGAATATGTATTTGAAAATGTCACTGTGCCATCTGATGGTTAGTTTTACCTTTCGTTTCTGACTCTTTTTCCTCTACTGTTTCATTAAAAAAAAAAATTGTTCAAAGAATCTGATTCAACAACTTTCAAGAAGATGCTTTTTAGAAGATCCTCATGTGATCAAATTTAATAATAATAATAATAATAAATAGCATTTGTATAGCGCATATCCCCGCTCAACAGAAGGCTCTATGCGCTTTACACTATATTATTACCCCAGCAGACCTTAGAACACTCCGAAACATTCTCAGCTTCCCAGGAAGCATACAGTGCAAGCAGCTGATTAAGCGCTCAAACACTAACAAACTGACAAGATCTTTCGCTGTCTATAGCCGGGTACCCATTCCCACCTGGGTGAAGTGAGGAAAATTCGTGTAAAGTGCCTTTCCCAAGGACACAACGTCGGGCCCCTGACGGGATTCGAACCCACGACCTTACGGTTGCGAGTCCGAGAGCCTAACCACTAGGCCACCGATGCCACTTATACACCATTAAGTCTCTAAAATGATGTACCTGTACATGTTGTGTAGAGCTTTAATTATATGTCTAAAACTGCTTAGTGGAATGATTCAATGATTTATTATATTTTTTACTAACGACACCATACATTTCATTTTCCACCTATGAACCTGTTACCTCATTTGTGCCCAAAGTATTGTGAGAATTGATTTCGAACATAACTGTTCTCAATGCATTGCCCTTGACGTAAGGTCTTATTTGATATAATATGAATCAGCCCTGTAGTGTTATTCGTAGATTATGTTTTGGTCACAACTTGACATTTTCTCACTCTAATGTCGATTTTTTTCTAAGAGTGATTTTAAGCTCTGAGACACACCATTGCACCTTATATAATCACAGACCTTAGAAAAAAATTGAGCATGATCTCAGTATATGTGCTTAATGATTTTTACTAAATTACAATATTTCTTGTATTTACGTGACCTAAAAAAATGGGTCTTGAGCCGGTCATACACCATTTTTGGCGCTTGTTGGTGTGATCTTTTCATGTTTAGTGAATCACACTTAAAAAAAATTTTTTTTTCTTTCAGTCATTTAATTGACAGGTTGACCATTTTTGGCGCTTTTTGGTGTGATCTTTTCATGTTTAGTGAATCACACTTTAAAAAAATAAATTCTTTCAGTCATGTTCCTTAAAAAAACAACAACCTGTTTGTCTGTGAAATTGAACTAAGACTTATGAAATCAGAAGTGCTTGAAATTGGCAGTTCATTTCGAACGTGATGTTTTCACAAACTATTAAAATTCTAAAGAACCATAATTCAGTTGTTTGTGACGGATTTTGGTAATTCTCTCTGTATTTTCCTAATTTTACTGAGTAACTTTAGATGAGTGTGGTAAAAATTTGATTTTTTACATTCCAAAGTTCGCATGTGGTACCTACCCAGGCTTAACAGAGTCTTATCATTCAAGTCAACAGGTACAGTGTGGGTACTGTACGGGCACACAGAAAACTGTCCAAGACGCGGGGATGAGTAAGCTTGAAATAAAATAATACGGAACTGGAAGTGTAAAAGTGAAACCGAAAATGTACTAACTCAACACAAGCATTGTCCAATAAGTGACTCACCTATTTGTTTTTTGCTCGGCTTGTCAGGGTTTAAGTTGATCTCTGTGATAGTGTGTGGCACTAAAAGAGTCACCAGCAGCCTGAATGTCAATGGAAAGTGAAACGGATATAATGCATAATATGTCTAGAGCGAAACATACCGGTGTCTATAGTGTTGTGGTTTGGCGCTCCCCTGTCGCACGCAGGAGATCCGAGTTCTATTGGGGAGTGGGGAGAAATTTTCATCGAGTATGTTGGTCTTTCTGCTGAGATAAAGTTTCCCTCTCAGCTTGGGTTGGCCCTGAAAGATGTTTATGATGATGATGATGATGATGATGATGATGATGATGATGATGATGATGATGATGAGGAGGATGAGGAGGAGGAGGAAGAGGAGGATGATAATAATAATAATAGTAGCAATAATAATAATAGCAATGGTAATAAGACAGATAGAAAGATAATGATAACAATAATAACAACAACAATAACGATGACAATCATAATTATTTATAATATATGTATATATATATATAACAAATGTTTATATATATATATATATATATATATATATATATATATATATATATATATATATATATATAGCAAATGTTTATATAATATATGTTATATTATATATATGTAGAAATATATATAATATATGCTTCACATGAAATACTAAAAAAAATAATAATGATATTAATGTTGCTGCTGCTGCTGCTGCTACTACTACTACTACTACTACTACTACTACTACTACTACTACTACTACTACTACTACTACTACTACTACTACTACTGCTACTGCTACTGCTACTGCTGCTACTGCTGCTACTGCTGCTACTGCTGCTACTGCTGCTACTGCTGCTACTGCTACTACTGCTGCTACTGCTGCTGCTGCTACTACTCTTACTACTGCTACTACTCCTGCTACTACTGCTACTACTGCTACTGCTGCTACTGCTGCTATTGCTACTACTACTACTACTACTACTACTACTACTACTACTACTACTACTACTACTACTACTACTACTACTACTACTACTACTACTGCTACTACTACTACTAATCAATGACATTTATATAGCGCTCAACCCCGAATAAAGTACACAGGCTCTGAGCGCTTTACAATACAGTACAACATACAACAGTAACATAAAATGTTGTGTTCTGACTAAAGAAAATTATTCCAAATATTCATGTTATTAATTTAAAAACAGAAACGACTTCAGCTGACATTTGAATGAATCAAGAGATTTGATCTCTCTCAAAGTACTTGGTAAAGCATTCCAGATCTTGGGGCCTTGGTATTCAAATGCCCTTTCACCCATTGTTTTAAGTTTCATAGATGGTAAAATAAATTTCTTTTTGTCAGCAGATGACCTTAAACTGCGAGTTGGAATGTACAGTCTTAACAGATTTGATAAATAAATCAGATGCATTATCATTCAAACATTTGTGACATAGGGTGGCCAACTAGTACACAATCCTTTCTCAACAGGAAGCCAATGCAAAGTTCGTAAAAGAGGTTCAGCAGAGTCTCGCTTTCTTTTCCGTAAAACTAAACGTGCGCAATGGGACAGTTTGAAGTCTTTTAACTTTCTCCAGTGATATTCCTGATAACAAGGAGTTACAATAATCGAGTTTTGATAAAATTAAACTAGTTACTAGTAAAGCAGTATAGATCTACTTAGTATTGATCAGATGACGTATTTGACTAATTTTTTCTTATTTCTAAATACATGCAGCTGATCAGATGATTTACCTCAGCGGACATTGACAAACTGGAATCAAAATAAATGCCCAGATTCTTAACTTTTCTTGAAAATACAATTTTTGCATCACCAATTGTAATATGATCGTGGTCAACCTCTTTAACAGACTTTGCATTGCCTGCCAGAATGACTTCTGTTTTATTATCATTCAAAATCAATTTATTTTTGCTTATCAAGTTTTTCACTAAGGCAATACAATTTTCAGCACGATGGACAAGTTCATCTAAGTTGGTCAACAATGTTGAACCATAAATTTGGGTATCATCAGCATAGAAATGGTATTTTAAGTCATACTTAACTATTTCCTTGACAAGTGGTTGAGTATAAATGGTGAACAAAAATGGACCTAGGACTGATCCCTGGGGGACACTATACTTAAGAGCATCATCTGATGACTTAAGCCCTTTAATAAAAAACAGATTGGTAACGATTTGACAGGTAAGAAGAAAACCAGCTAAGGGCAGTCCCGGACAATCCAAAAGACACTTCCAATCGCTTCAATAAAATATGATGGTCAATTGTATCAAAAGCTGCTGATAGATCTAAAAGGCTCAGCAAAACATCTTTTCCTGAATCACAGTCAGTAAGCATGTCATTCATGACTTTAAGAAGTGCTGTTTCTGTGCTGTGGTTAGCTCGATAGGCAGACTGGAATGGCTCTAACAGATTGTTCTCTTGTAAGTGATGACGAGGCTGCTCGGGGACAACCTTTTCAAGGATTTTAGACAAAAAAAGGCAGATTTGAAACAGGTCTATAGTTCTTTAAGACATTCTGATCTAAGTTTTGTTTCTTTAGCAAAGGTTTTACAAGGGCGATTTTAAACGAATCTGGTACTGATCCATACACTAGAGAATTATTTATGATTTTAGTAATGAATGGGGTCAGTTCGTCAACGCAGGAAGACAACAGAGAACTAGGGACAGGGTCGAGATCACACTGTTTGCTAGGGGATTTTAGAATTACAGATTTAATTTTTTTTTCAGAAACAGGTTTAAACTTATCAAGAATCACCCCATCATATACATCAAAATCAACACATGTTTCATGTTTTATTACCACTACCACTACCACTACCACTACCACTACCACTACCACTACTACTACTACTACTACTACTACTACTACTACCACTACCACTACCACTACCACTACCACTACCACTACCACTACTACTACTACTACTACTACTACTACTACTACTACTACTACTACTACTACTACTACTACTACTACTACTACAACTACTACTAAATGCGCGGACATTTTTTATACGTTGTATAGTTAAGAAAAACAACAGATAGGTGGACAGAGACTGGGAGAACGGAAGATGAAATGGGAGGGGTTTTTTTGGGGGGGGGGGAGCGGGGTAGAACAGAGAGCATGAACACAGACAGACCGGCAGATATACAGTGCTAAAGAGAGAACAAGATATAGAGAATAACAGAGATAGAAAAACAAACGGAAAAAGAGAGTAAGAATGCGAAATATATACGTTCGAACCTCATTATACCGCCTCTGTTATACGCCAGCACCGCTTACCAACAAATTTTGACAATGCACGAAAAGGAAGACCTATTTAAACATAGCATTTTCGTCTTCACACCGCCATCCACCATTTGCCAACTATCTGGTTGTACAGTCCTTATCAAACTTTAATACAACTTTGCTCCTTTATTTATACCGCTAGCGATATGGCCGCCAAAAGTGCCCACCACATACGTCGCACAGAACCCACTCGCTGACTGCTTGATTTTTATCTTCTATATATCTATACATATTTTGTGGAAGTTCGTCACTTTCGCCACCTTAAACTTCCCAACCACTTAACTTTCGAATTTGAAAAAAATAAAGGTGGTTCAGAATCATTCAAAGGATGCACAGTTTTACTGAGGAGTCTGAAGTCACAGTAGTTCAATTTTCCGTTTTTCATGAGTTTCGTTTAGATCTAATCTTGGGAAAGTCCGTCTTCTAAGACCCCATTGCAAACAAGTGAGGCTTCCGTTCACAAAGAGAGCGTGCACTGATCCCACAATGACTTGACGATCGATTCTTTTGAGTCCGTTCGTCGAACGGGAAACCCAGCTATCTATTATACATTTGGGAACTTGGAAACACATGCATCACTTTTCCCATAAAACTGCGACAACTACAGAGTTGAAAGTTGGCAAGTACCTGCAAAAAGATAGATAGATCCCCATAACGGAGCCTGAAGTCACTATAGTTTAATTGTCAGTTTTTCATTAGTTTCGTTTAGATCTAATCTTGGGAAAGTCCGTCTTCTAAGACGCCATTGTAAACACATGAGGTTTCCGTTCACTGGCCGTGCACACTTTTTACACACCTTTGAAATTATGGAGTGTACAACTACGAAAGAAGAATAGAGAATCAATCTATAGGCCTACATCTATTATATATTCGACAACTTGGAAACGTGTCTGTCAGTTTTCTCTCAAAATTTATTGCTCCATTCCAGTAGAGTGTAAATATAGTAGGCCAATGACTTTCAGTTCATTTTAATGCATTTCTATAGCTAAAAAAAACCCCGCAGAACGTAGAACCATGAAAAAAATTACTGAAGGTAGTTCAAAGACCATGTTATCAATTAAGTAAGTGCTTGCATTCACCTAAAAAAATAGAAAAATAGAAAACACTATCGGGCGTTTGGGATTTTCCCGTTCGTCATTTCAATGCAGTGTTCAAGCAAGGAGTTTAGAACTAATGGAGCCTCCTCTCTCTCTTCGCGGCGCCACGAGCAGTACGCCGCGGTGGGGATCAAATATGGCGACCGACTGTGGGCTAAATCATAAACTGTGGCGTTTCTTTTTATAGAATCTTATCGGGCTGGGCCACGTTGTGGGGGTGGGTGGGGTGGAACCTCTGCAATCTCTTGTAGAGCACTTTGGAATTGTTTGTAACCCCTGAAGACTGTTTCTGTCGCATCAGCCCGGGCAGACCACCGGGTGTCCGATGGGTGTTTTGGGACAAGACATTCAGGATTTTCCTCAACGTGTAGTAATAAAATATTCCAACGATGTGCTGATGCAAGAAAAAATGAATACAAGCGTTGCAGGAACTGAAAGAAAGACACAGCTTCCACACAGCAATCTACAGCTGATTGACCAACTAAATTTAGAGAGTGGCCTGCGCACGGAATATAATTGTCCTTGGACCCAACGATTTCATTACTGGCTCGAAAAGCCCGCCCTCTCTCACAAAGGAAAATGCTTGTCTTTATACAACATAACAAAATGTTTTTCCAGTATTTTCGTTCTTCCAGTAAGTTTTGGTGTAACCGCTCGTCAACTTGCCCACCAGCAACACTACGTTGACACAAAGTCAAGACTGAGTTTATATGTTTGGGACTTGTTTCATGTGTTTTTAAATAGTTGGTTATATTCTTCCAATCTGTAAACCCCTGACCAGAAAGATGTACACGGTCTGGCGAAAACAAAAAGCAAGGGAAACAGAAAACACAGGCTTTGGCTGGAGAATGTACTAGCCAGTCACGATCAACTACTTCTCCATTTGACAAAACACTTTTGAATGCACTGTTATTTAAATACCGATTCACACCACAAAAGTCTCGTTTTGTCTCTGGATAGTCATTAGCCAAATTCCAAAACTGGTTTGCTCAGCGAGTTATGCACATTTCAAGCACATCGTCCGTTATTTCACCTAGAAGCCCTACATCATTTGCTATTGTTCCTGAAATATTATCAGTTTCGACTGTTTTAGCATCAGCTAGCTCAGCTTCAGCAGTAGGCTCTTTTTGGTTGCTGTCGATTTGAGATGAAGAAGCTTCACCACCAGCTACCCCAGCTCCAATAGTACTAGCAGTATGCTTTTCTTGGGATCTGAGATGAAGAAGCTTCGCTTCTTCTTTTCTTTTTAACATGAAAAATTGAAGTCAGTTTTGTTAATTTTTTTAGTTCTTCTCCTTTTTTAATTTTCTTCTTCTCCAACTCCTTCGCTCGTTCCCATCCACTCTTTCGTTTTGACATTTCAAGATACTAATCCTAGCAGACACTGAGGATAAGCATGCACAAGAAGAGTACATTATGAAGTAATGTGGTAGGGCCTATGTTGTGGTAGTGGTGGTGGTGATGCTGCTGCTGCTGCTGCTGCTGCTGCTTTTGTTGTTGTTGTTGTTTGTTATTGTTGTTGTTTGTTGTTGTTGTTGTTGTTTTGTTTGTTTTTTGCTGCTGCTGCAATGGTTTGCATTATATTATGTCGATTCTGGTCTCTATCAGCATCCTCAATATTGTATATTATAAAAATATAAGTAAAGTACTAGTTCGTGTACTACTACTGACTGAGATCAGAATGCAGTCATACTGCATAGCCACTGTCAAAATAAAAGATATCCAGTTGCAGCCAAAGCTGCAGTTTAAAAGACCTTCTCCCACACATACACACGAACTTTTCTGTCCCCCCCCCCCTCCCCTTCCCCAAATCCCACCAACTCTTACTTTCCCGTTGTGTTTCTTCATTTTCCTGTTAGTATGAAGAAAAATTTGTTCGCGTAATTTAACATCTAGTTTTACTCGTAGCATTAGTATTGAAAATAACTATTTGGTCCACTGTTGCTTAGGCTAGCTATATGTAAGTCATAAATCATAACTCACAAGGCATTTATAAAGCGCCCACACCAGAAGATCTGATCTGAGGCGCTACAGTTAGGATCAATTGAATATTTTCTGGAACAGAAATGTCTTGTCTCAACATTTCCTATTGCTGCTGGCAGTGCGTTCCATAAAGATGGGGCTGAAACACTGAAAGCCCGATTTTCGATTTTTGTTCTGGTATTTCTAGTTGACAATCTTATGTGTTTACTCTGTCTTGTGTTTTTGAAAGATGCTTTCACATTTATGAGTTCTGTGATCTAGGATGGTCCAATTTTGTGGATTGCTTCAAAAACTAACAGTAGGATCTTTAGGTCAACCTCACAAGTAACTGTTGAGTCCCGAGTTCCGGGGAGGGGGAGTTGTGGAGGTGATAGGGTTTAGGCCTAAAAGAGGGGATGCCATTTAAAAAAATACAAACACTGCGCTACTAGACTTAGACTAGATTTATCTAGATCTAGGTCTATTCTACGTTTAATATTATTCATTCAGAATCTGGACACTAATTTTGTAAGGTTTCAATTTGCTATAAAATAAAAAAACTAGTACAAAAAATAACTTTTTACACGTATAATGTTGGCATCCCTTCCTGTCCCTTCCCTTGCTTTAAAACGTCTAGGCCTAATAATACAAGTCTGAATTATTATACAGATAGCCTACCTTGATTTTTTTTTTATATCGGGGGTTTTGTAAGCACAGTTCACCTTTCACCTCATGTGCACTTAGAAAACTGTTTAAATTTGGCAGAAATTAGCCTAGAAAGGTAGCATTCGCAGGTTTTTTTTACTCCAGCAGGGCCACAACTTTGGAACTGTTATCTGGGTTGCCAGGTATCTGGTGACTTTAGAGGCCAAATGTGTTTGATTTGGAACCCACTGCTAATGATTCAATTTAATTTTTGAAAAAAATGTGGCCTAGAGAGAGGCCAAACAAAATGTTTGTGAGCACTTTCTGAACTAGGCCTGGGACTAAAAACTCAGTCGGACTCTGGCTAGGGCTAGCCTAGGGCTATTCTAGTTGTGGCCTTGCTGACTGGCCTTGCTGCGGCCTGATCAAAACAGGGAAAAAACCCGAAAAAATGTGGCCTTGTTGTACCCTGTCTCTGGCCCGTTTATGGCCTATTTTTCTGAGTGGCCCCAAGGCAATTGCCTTATTTGCCTAATGGTTAATCCGGCACTGGTTTCTGTACCTATTATTCTTTGTACTTCTTCATTTTAAAAATCTATTTCCGTCACAAGGATATTCTTTGAATTCTTCTATAACATTTTATTTCCAAAGGTGTAATTCCTTTTTAATTATTTTGTTCATGAAGTGTCCATGCTTCACATGCATCGTAGTGGAGAATCTCACCTGTCATAAAAGTCCAGTATATGAGGGTGACTGAATGTGTCCACGTTGAAGTAGGACTGGGAGTCCGGATTCAACTTCTCAGC